TAAAATACCATTCAAATCCAGGGAAAGAAAAGGAGACCTAGTTGACAAACTTTCGTCTTTCATACAAGATTGCACGTGCTTTTCTCCAACAGCTCAGGAGTAAACATATGGATCCTTAATTTAGTGTGATTAACAGCCGGCAAAACTTTTGGGATTTAACAGGAGAAGGACCGTAAACAATAACTATGCCTTTTTCTGCATGCCATTCCTCATTTTTATTGAAATGTTGTTAATTGGCGATAAACAAAATGCTCTGTTAATACCACCCTAACGTTTGTATAGCCTATGGTTAGCAAGGGATCTAGGAAATGAAAGTACTTTGCAGGTGTGGTCCTATGGTGTCGCACGGTATTTCTGAAGTTGTTTGCGAGCTATTTCCAAAATATTAATTTTTGATTCTGTAATTGAAAATATTGTGCTAGTGCTCGTGAATAAGAGTGGCCGTGTCCAAGTGACTACTTTGTAGCTAATTGTCGTGTATTACACCATGGGCTGTCATATTAAACCCTATCCTCACGGTGGCTCCCGGGGATACTGACTCAGTTAAAACGGTCGTAGAATGAATAAATACAACAGCACGGTATTTCCCACCCAGTAAAGAATCGGAATTAACAGTGATTAAATTGTATGATTATCAAAAACTATCACTTCAAAAAAAATATAATCAGATAAAAGAACTGATCGATACACAGGACTCTCGGGGAATGCGTGACGGGCCACAGTAATTAAATTATTTTAATTCGCGTAAACATATCTTCTTCTACTACTTCTTCCTCGTGAAACAGACCTAAGGGGATTCTAAGTCATATTTCGTTCGTGTTTTTCCGTGGAAAGTTCTAACAGATATTTTCCCTTAAAAATGTGAAATATAAGCAGTTATGTTTCCTGTCAATTCAATTTGTTGAAACGACGCATCTAAGGCTAATTTGCATACGGAGAACGAAGTCGCGTTCTGATCGTCGACCAGGAAAAAAACCAAGAAAAAGCGATTACCAAGTTTTCTCCTCATGTTTTCAAAAGTCCAACATTTAAAGGGTCTAATGACATTTGGTGATAACTAGAAACGTTAAAACTGTGGAAATTAGTCGATCAAATGCGGACCGTTACAATTCCAGCTTTGCTGTCAAAATGGCGAATTTGTAACATTAACGGAACTTTGTACAGCGCGCAGAGAAGAGTGCCCACAAATTTTATTGCATTAAGAAGTAGACTGGTCTTAGTACTTCTGATTTATCATAGACTTGAGTCTGGGTCAGGTGCCACTTTCGCGAAATTACCGTTCAGCTCTAGTTATGCAAATTACTTTTCCTGCTGAGCAAATTAACGGTCATTTTAAAAAAATCATATCTCAGCCAAATTTCCACAGAATGCAACCATTAAACTTTGACACTGTCAATGAGAGTTAAAAATTTTGTGTGTAAAATAATCAGATTATTCGGCTCTGTAAGGTAGGTTTGACAGAGCCCTAAAGTTTCACCAAAATCGCACCACTTCTGAAGGCAAACGGGCCAGTTTTAGGTGACCGAGAAAATCTTCCTGTAATATAGAGAAAAAAATTGAGTTGGTTCAAATAAATGTGATATTTCTTCATGGGATAGGATAGTTATCTTCCACTGAAAAAATCAGGGCAATCCGTGATACACCGAAATTTGCCTTATCGGTTCTTACGCGGACAGCCTCTTAAATACGAGTTTATCTCTGAAAGGCGACTGACCAACAACTAACCAAATTATTTCTTGAATATCCTTGTGGTTGAAATCTGCAGTATGTGGAAAAGAGTAAAACAAATAATTAAACTTAAACCCGTTCTGAAAGACAATAGGCAAAGGATTTTTAACTGCTTCCAGACAAAGAAAGCCAAAATAAAGGACGACATGGGAGAATTCAGTAAAAAGGAAGTGCGGAAGAAGACAATGTAAAAAAATCATGAGTAAGTGAATACAAAAGAAAAAGGCAAAGCCAAATGTAACATAACTAAAAAAGGAGTTTAATGAACCATTATTTTGTTGAAAACTGCACAAATTTTAGTTGACGCATTTCCCAGTAACCCTCATTGAGGTGTTTAAGAATTTCGCACATATATCCTCTTCCTGTTTTTATTGAAAAGCTGAAGTGAAATTGATATCACAAATCCATGAGAAAAATACGACACGTTTTTCTCTGGATAGCAACGAATTAATTGAACTATTGGGCAGTTTCGTCTGATTGCAGTCGAGACATTTTAAGTCATGTTGGAATTAAGATTATTGAGGTCAAGTCATTTTTGTGCCGGAGAGAGACGTACATCTGATTTTCTGGAAAATGTTTGTCTTCTGAGAGGCGTTAATTACTTCGTGGGAAAAAACTGTGCCGTTGAATCATTATAAATGAAAAATAGCAGGTCGGAAAAACGACAATGAAAAGAATTGACAGCGAAAGCTAAAGTGAAATAATGAATGTGTAAAGAATTTCATGTATTTGAACTAAAACAGCGGAATGAAGAGATAAATGGAAGATCCTTGCAGTTTTTAAAGTAGTAATTTATGCATGCAGTTTCAAGAAGAAGACCTGAAAAATTCAGGCTTGTCGCTATTTGAACCCAGACTTTCGCGATACTGGTTCATCGCTCAAACCAAACAGTAAGCTACCAGCAAGTCAACTAGGAGCTGGTGATTAAATTAGTTGGTAATATAACCGGCAGAAATGAAAATGAAATACTGTATCCTCTATTAAGCCCTGGGGGCCTTATTTATTTCAAACCTATTTGAGGTGGGGGGCGGGGAGGCTTAATAGAAACGGGGGGTTTATTAGAGAGGGGGAGCATATTTCATTTACTGAGCACGGACGATGATATAAGTTCTCCACAAAAACTAGAATGCAAAGTAGAAACTCTCAGGGACATGAAGTTGGAGGTCATTCAGCCAAAGATCAAAAACAAATCCGAACTTCCAGTTGGTGAACAAACCATCCCGGATCAGTCCACACGATGTTTTACAGTCGTGATTGAATAATACAGTCTATCATTTAGTGGAGAATGAGGCTTATTTGAGAGGGGTGGGGCTTAATAGAGGATTTTTACGCTAATGAATATATGAATTTCACATATTTGAACCAAACGCGACGGAATGAAGTAATAAATTGAAAATTCTCGCAGTTGAAGTCGCAATTTATTCGAATGACTATTAGACAGACTATTCAGTAGACAGAACATTTAAAAGGTTTTTCGCTGTTTCTGTTAGGGTTTCCATCAGTGGTAAGATATTCAGTCATAGAAACAGTAGGCAGAAAAAAAGTTGTCAGTAAAGCCAGGTTGACGAAATAAGAGAATTTGTCTCGGAACACAAAAAAGTATCCGTTGTCCGTTTTAACGGGTATCCGTATTGAGCGTGTTATTTTTAGAGAAAAAAATATGAGCTTTTCGTAGCGACAAACAAAACTGTCCGTTATAAACGACTGCCTGTAGAGTGGGGTTCCACTGATATGCTCTGAAATTCCCCAGCGTTAATCTAGAAATGAAAAAGAGAAGCAAACCATAAGGTCAATATACACGTTAAAGTGCAGCACGACCACATCGACAAACCGTTGAGTGGTGCTGATCTCTTGTAGACCTGGAACGGAAACTAAAGAAAAGGAGATGGCAGACAGGCAGTGAAAATAAAAATAACTGACAGCGTGATTGGTAGGTGACATAAGGCTACGATCATCTTAGTTATCATAAAAGAGATTTAGAATCACGTCTACGGTAAACGTCAAATTCCATTAAGTAATTTTTCAGAATGGTCTTAATCACTGAGATAAAAACTGTCCAAAACTATAATTCTCATGGATGAAACTGGCGTGAAATTTCTATTTTTTTTGTGGGTACAACAAACGGTAAACTACATTTTATAAGAAAAAAACATGGCCATGTGGTACAAACTAACGTCTACCGTTCGCCGTCAGAAACGTGATTCTAAATCTCTCTATTATTTTTTTTTCGTCCCCGAGGAAGGTTTGTCTTTCAATCCAAAATATCAGGAAAATTTTTTGAAATACATATTTTATATGTTTTGTTTGACCGTACTTACCATATTTTAGATTGTTCCAGGCGTTCAGTCCGGTCTCCCCAAGTTTTCCTCACGCACAATTTAACTCGCTCCCCACCATTTGAACTCCACGCACTACTGTCCGAACGCCTTGAATAGGCTAACCATATTTTGTTTACTTCTTTATCGCTTTACCATCACAGGGGCGGATCCAGGATTTTTTTTAGGAGGGGGTGCACTCGTCTCTTGCTCTACTTCAACACCAATAAACCACATAGTTTTTTTTTTGCAGAATACCAGTTGTATTAGAAAACCGCAAGTCATCTTAGAGGGGGGGGGGGTGCGCACCCCCTGCACCCTCCCCCTAGATCCGCCCCTGCATCAGGACAAGACTGCCGTGTATAATTTTTATCATGTCAAGTGCATGAATTCTAATTCAGATATGATAGCTTAAAAAGCCAAGTCAGTTTATTACCTCGGTTAATTACTTCTAAAGATTTATGTTGGAACATACGAAACGTCAAGTAAAAGTTTCATTTCTTTCCAGAAATTCGTTTGTATTTACTTATGTGGCACTGCAGTTTGCTCTTTGTTTCTTCCTAAGCAGAGATGGCCAAAAAAAAAGAATACGTGCAATTTAGTTTTATTCTTTTTTTATACAGTTTGATGGTTGGATACTCTGAAAAAAACGGAGAAAATTGTCTCAAAAAGTTCTTCAAAACAAAAGAAAAGGAAATAACCCCCAGGTTAGAGAAAATCGGCCTTCGAACAACTGTGCCCATTTTCTGCCCAGGATGGTGTGCCTGTGGTCACATTTTTCTACAGAGACTGGGCCGAACAAAAATACTCTCGTTACCAGGACAACCAGGACGTTTTTTGTTTCGGCAACCATTGTGATTTTTGTAGCTTCATTGTGATCAACGATCGAAGGATTTGTGAAGCTTTCACAAGTAATTTTCCCTTGTGTTTTAATCCGGTAACCTTTTTTTAATCAAGATGTCGATGGCAACGAATTATAGGTACGAAGTGGAACGACCTGGAGCGAAAAATCTACGGAAAGCGCTTAAAAGACAGGAGGAGCGAATCAAGGTTTGTGCATGACAAGAGATAAAAGGGCTACGCTGGGATATGTGTAACTGGATCAATTTTGCTTACTTTCTGTTAGGTAATTACGTAAAGATCAAATCCATTGTGTGCTTTATACTGCAGGGAAAGCGGTAAAATTTATTTCCATTGTTTAGGAGCAATTAACAATTTTGTCAGAACGATTAAGCTGATCTTCTCTTCAGGCAACAATGATGTTGTTTTCACTATAAAGCAAATTTAAATTATTTCAAAGAAATAGCATTTTTGCGCACTGCATTTAGAGGCATTAATCTTCGATTCACCGAGTGATGAAATCAGCCAATGGCGCGAAAGTTAAAATCTGCAAAGACTACGTTGGGAACAAACCCTCGAGCACAAGTCAGTTAATTCCTACATAATTGTTGCGAATTAGGTTCTCAAAAGAACTTTCCTTGACTGTAGTTGAAAGAGGTGTGTGTGTGTAGCGGGGAAAGGCAACATACAACTACATTGATACATGTGCGAAGTACTGAGGCTTGTGGAAAATACTATTGATCCAACAATAATCGCTAATTGATAGGTCTTTGGGAATAAGTCATATAAATCTTGGTTATCTTTTTAAAGGACAATGGTTGTTATTGTAAGTTATATGTTAGCTACAGGTCCACCCCGCTTTTGTCTTCTTGAGTGAAGTTCAGATATGTCCAATGCTTTGCTTTGTCATAACATATTTGCCAAACTTTGGCAACTTTTTGCCATTTTCGCCATTGCATGCATTTCTGGACACAAGTGCAGGCGAAGTTAAGGCCTTCGAAGATCAGTACCATACCTGAACTTCTGAACTAGTCAATCTTGTTTTCTCTCATCAAACTGGTTTTCCAAGTGCGAGCATTGGTTTATTGATAAACCGCTGGTTATAACTAAGCTCGCTGTACCAGGGTGCTTAACTTTATCACAGCAACAAGCAGAATATGCATGCTAAATAACAATTACTAGCTACTGATGTACAGTGTGTTGTACACTGTATATGCCAAAAGGGAGTAAGCTTAAATGAAAAGGTCTGCTAGCCTGGTTAGCCACTTTGCAGAGATTGCAACATACTTGTACATGTTTTAGAATGACTGTCCTTTGTATTCTGGGGTGCGGGAGACAGACTCTGGGATTTCTGGCATATTCCCTACCTACCAACCTCGTTCCCGGGGTTCTCTCCTACCCATCCCTATGGAGCGAGAGAGAGAGAGAGAGACCCTGGTTGGGTCTGGTCATTGTCTCCAGAGCAGGGTTGTCAGAAAGTTTTGAAGTAGATGGCTGAGTTGTTAATGTAAGCAGTCAGCGCTGGAGGGCAAGCCTCTAGGGGGATCTAGGGGCATGCTGCCCGAGTAAAATTTGTATATTTAGACACTCTGAAATGCTGTTTTCTGCACTCTCCAGGGATTTCTCTCCCAAGTTACGGGAAATCTAAAGTGAATTATAGGGTGAATTATATTACTGCATGTAGGCATTAACTTTCTCATTTCTTCATTTTGATCATTCTTAAAAGTGATCAGTGTAAATATCATGTGGGTTAATGTTAACTTACAAATTTCAAAATGCAGAAATCAGTAGTTTTTGGTGGGTATTTATTTTTTTCATTCACCTGAAAAATTCAAGTTTCTTAGTCAAAAGAAAATTTATTTGCAGTTCTAGATGCTGAAGACATGGCGAGGAGGCCTAAAGGAAACTGTAGGGCTTATGTTAATTAGAATTACAATTTTTCGACAAAAAATTACGGCGATTAGAAAATGAAAAATCACTTTACAAATGTTTAAATACAAAAGGCTGGATCATTTTACTGCGGTCCACTGTTTACAGATTGCCTTGATAAAAAAAAAACTTTTTGGTTCACTGACCTGTTTCTTCTAAGCTAATGTTTGATTTGTACAGACATTAAAATTAGACTCAAAACACTTAATACATAGATCATTTTTAGTGGTCCACTTCCCCAAATCATGGGGCTACACAACCAGGGTCCCTTTGAAATGGGGACACAACCAGGGTCTCTTGATGGGTAGGAAAGAGAACTTGGGAATGAGGTTACCCTACCTACATGTACTAGGGTTGCCCTGGATCTGTTCAGTAATAGATCACAGATGACATCAAAATGATTGTGGTAAAAAGGAAGTGGCACACGAGCCGCAGGCAAGCATGTGTCACTGATGTTTTTACCACATTTTGATGTTCTCTGTGATCTATTTCTACACAGACCTACAGCAACATGGAATCCATTAAATTTTGTTTTATACATGCAATGATCAGAAAAGAAAAAAGACCGATACACACTTACCTGCCTTGTACTGCTTGACTGTTCGAGGATTTTTGCTAGTTTAGGCATTTTTTAAGTCCCAAGTTATATATACCTGTCGTCTCTGCTTCTTCTTTTTTCGCCATCTTACTTGTGTACAGTTACTTCGAAGAGTTTTTGAAGTCTTTTGTTGCTCAAAGCAGAATAATGTGCGAAACATTTTTCGAAACAGCAAGTCTCTCACAGCAATGACACAATGATCACAATTTAACTGTTGTAAAGATTTCTTGCAGTTTATAGACATTCTCAACGTGGTCAAGAACTCTTTTTGCCTCCATTTCTCCATTTTTCTTCTTTGTAAATAACTCGTGGTAAATTTTTTTTCCTTGCTTTCACCTTCCAAATCCGAAATAATCAAACACACATGTTCAAATCTGTGCGCCATGTTGCAGCAAAACAAAGAAAACTGTGTTTTCCCATGATGTCATCCATGTGTCTGCATGTACTCTAATAGATCATGGGCAACGATCAATCACAGCGCGCATTGCCTTCAAATCATTCTACAGATAAAGTGAAATACCAAGTGAAAGGCTCTGCATTGCCCTGGTCATTCCCAGGGGACAGGGGGCAAAAGAGTGGACATGTCAAGGAGTTTCAAATAACAGCGGTTCTTAACTTTGATGTGTAATGACTGATTAAGTTTTGAAATGACTGTAGTTTTGTTTTGGAACTGTTGTAGATTGGTACTAGCTATCTTTAATTTTAGATAATATTTAACCTTTTAGGTCTTAGTTTATTTTATTCTCTTTCATTGTAAGTTTTATGCTCTCACAATAAGTTTGTTCATGGCTCTGAATTTAGCAGTTGTGGCTGAAAGTATGTGTAATTAACCATGGCTAAGTGAAGGTAACGTGTTGTTACATGTATCATGGCATTGGGCATATTAGTAATTTCAAAAACATCAAAATTCACATGTAATTTTTCTTTTTGTGGTAGAATGATGAGCTTAATTCTGAACAGGAAGCAAAAGTCAAGAGGTAATTATACTTTTACAAGTAGCCTTATTAGCTTTAAAAATAAACCCTAGGCTTGTATCAAAATTTAAATTATATTTTGTTGTGCTCAGACTGGCAAATATTTTTTCATAAAAGTAATGGGAAGACACTGTAAGAGACTTATGAAGAAATTAGAGACTGGTGCATGTGACTTATTTTTACTAGGTACTATAAATATTAAAGTACTAGTCCATGTAAATCTGGAATTGAAAATGATTGTTTTTGTGGGTCCTTCTGTCCAAACTTAAACACGCCCAAATTTAACGTTAAACAATTAAAAGAAACAGATTATAGTACAAATCCGGGTTAGGCTTATCTGTGATGTGACAATAATAGCAAAATGCCTGGCACCCTACATTTTTGTATAATAATTCATGACTCACATTTTTTCTTTAGTGAGGTTAGAGTAAATCAGATTGCTGAATGGATGGAAAAACAAGAAGAGGTTTGTGATCACCGGTATCTTACCTATACATTGTAAATCTAGACAAATGGCATTTATTTAAATGATGTCAAAAGCGTAAAATTTTTATCCTGAAGTTGCAGTGTAGGGGGTTTTTGGAGTCAACCAAACAAAAAATAAATATTTAGTTTCTTGTAAGGAATTACATTTTGTTCAATGTACTGATATGTGACTGTCAGGTGAGTTCTTAGGAAAACCCTAAATCACAATGCATGTAAACAATGCAACAAAAAAGGGCAATTAATGTTTTGTGATGTTAAATATAATTATTATGATTGACCAAAATCAGAATAATATTATTTCCAAAATGGCCTGGTAATTAAGTTTTCAAGAGGTACATGACTTGTATGTGTACACCAGAAAAAATTAATCTGTTACACACAGCATGGGTAACTTTGTTTATAATTACCTATCAGCTTCCTAGTCTACTGTACATGTGAGAGTGCATTTGTCACAATGTGGATGTAAGTAAAATAGACAGCCAAGCCTGACTCATCTCCACAGTCATCTCTCTTGGTTCCCACGTGTGGGGAATGAAAAGCAAGAAGCATGACTAAAGGGAGGGCGAGGGGTGATGAGAAGAAGGGAAAGGAAAGGGAGAGAATATAATCCTGTTTCCCTCACCCTCCCTTGACCATGCATCTCTTGTTAATATTAATAGGAGACTCAGAGATGACTGGAGACAGAAGAGTCAGGGATAGCCAATTAAATTACTGTGCTTTTCAATAAAACTTCAACTCTGAAATTAAAAAGCCAGCTTAGCTTACAATAATGTTTTTTGCTGCTGCAAGCAACAAGCAATGAACCTTGAAACACAGAAACACTCAAAATGAATCAAAATCCACCAATCAGAAATCACAAACTGTGACCTTTTGAACTTGTGGAAGTAAATTTCTGTTTTCTGCGAGGTTTGCTAAGATGATCGACAGCACCGAAGATTGCAAATGTTAGTTGGCTTTTGAACTTCAGAATTCATGTGTTTTTGAAAAGTGCAGCAAAAATGAATTTTTAAATTTACTTGTTGCATTTTGCAGAATAGTGAAAGACGATTGCTAAAGCAATGGGCTGAGGACACAAAACAGGAGCTGTCTCTTGCCAACAAAGAATTAACAGCTGTAAGTTTTTTATTAAATTATTACATTTGTACAATTTTCAAATCAAGGATAAGGTATAGCCAGAGAAAAGAAGAAAAAAAAACTGTAACCTAGCTGCTGCCTATAAGCCCTGTGCCTGGTTGCTCAGAGGCCAATTAGTGCTGTGAACAGTGTACATTCTCCAATAAATTCTTGGCACTTATTGACATTTGCAAGTTAAATAGAGAGGCTAATTTTGTTTTCTAATTTTTATCTCAAAGGGGGCGGGGTGGGGGAGGGGGGCAAGGGGGTCTTGAGTGTTTAAGGAACTGTCATTTAGTATAAAATGACCTTACGCACTGTATATCTCATAATTTATTTTTTGTTCTATAAAACATTTCAGGTCAGAAGAGCCCAGCTTCGTAACCTACTATATACAGAGCAAGCTTTGTATGAGATGGAGCTAAATAACCAAGGCAAAACATTTTTCATTCAGAGAACATGACATCAACTTATTACTCGTTGTATAATACAGTTAACATTTTATTGTCAATGTTGTTTAAATTCTACCTTGTTCAATTGTTGAAATTTAATAAAATGTGTAAACTAACATTTCGCTCTGTCTTAGTCTATTACTGACAGTGTACACTATAGAGTCTCAATAAAAAATTATAATCATAGGCTAACCCCTTTGGGAAAATGAAACATGATCACCAGCCAAAATCGTAATCTTGAGAAAATTGTTTAGGTATCCTTGTCATCTTTCCAAAACATGGTCAAACAATACTTTTCTAGCTCTCTCTAACTGGTAAGAACAAACAAAAGAATAGTTTTCAGTTCTGCCCTATAGTCTGGGTCGCCAAATTCAGTATTATTTCTCTAAATTGGTTAATGCTTGATTGTGCTACAAAATTTAAATTTCTTCATTGTTTACTATTGGGTAATACAAGAACCCAGAAATGATGTTAAGGGATCTTCTAGATCAAAAATAAGCCTTATTTTAGTTTCTATATGTAGCCCATAAAAATACATGAAGTTCAGTATTTCACAAAGCCACCAGATTTTTTTTCAAATCGTGACTATTTTTTCCTGAGTAAAATAGACCTAGAAATGATATTTGGGGATGTTCAAGATAGAAAAGGAAACCGAAATTAGTTGGATATTTTCCAAAGGGGTCAGTCCATTATGTTGCTCAAAATGTTTGAATTTCTCAAATATTATTTTTGTTTTTTGGCAAAATAGATCCAAAAATGATGTGTGGGGATATTCTATATAGAAAAGAAACCTTCTTCTAGACTATAAAAATACGCATTTTACATAGTCACAAAACTGGTTATTTTCCAATGTGTTGGTCCGTGATTTTGGTAAAAAATTTTCAATGTCGTGAATATCTGTTTTTGGGCAAAACAGACCCATGCAGGAATGATGTTTGGGGAAGTTCTAGATGGAAATTAAAGAAACCTTCCTAGACTATAAAAATATACATTTTACATAAGTCACCAAATTGGGTATTTTCCAAAGATTAGTTAAGAGTTTTCAATTTTTTATGTACGTGAATAGTAAATTTTGGCCATTTGGGGTCGTTCTAGATAAAAAAGAAACTTTGCTGGACCATAAAATATAAATTTTCCTTAGTCTCTAAATTGCACTAGTCCATGGTTGTGGTCAAAATTTTTCATTTCATGTATATTTTTTTAAGCAAAAAAAAAGCCAGAAATGATATTTTGGGATGTTCTAGATAAAAAAGAAACCTTCCTAGATATTGAAAACATACATTTTACTTAGTCACTAAATTGGATATTTTCCAAAGTCCATGATTTTGGTCAAAATTTTCGATTTCATCAATATTATTGTGGGCAAAATTAAATAGACCCAGAAATGATGTTTGGGAATGTTCTAGATAGAAAATAAACCTCCTTGGCTGTAAAATATGCATTTTGCATAAGTCACAAAATTGACTTTTTTCCAAAGGGGTTAGTCCATATGTAAAATGTATAGTTTTACAGTCTAGGGATCGAGGAAGGTTCCTTTTCTATCTAGAACATCTCCGAACATCATTTTTAGGTCTTTTTTGCCCCAAAACAAGTATTCACAAAACTGGCCACTTTGTGAAATGCATATTCTAATAGTCTAGAATTTTTCTTTTTTATCAACAACATCCTCACTTGATCAGTCATCATTCCTATAGCTATCCTCTTTCAGTTGCATGAAGAATCCTTCAGCCACGGTAATACTGTTTTTGTGTACCAAAACCTAATATAAGCCCAATATAGGATTGCCAGGTTACCTAAGGAGTTTACGTCAATATCCAGCCGGCAGCTTCCACATTGATGACTTAAAAATTGAAATGTCTTGAATAATAATTTCTCGATCAACTCCCTCTCGTGTTTACTATGATTTCTACTGCTTAACTACACACCCACAAAGCAGTGCTAACTTTCAGTTTATTACTCTCAAAATATGACTCATACTTACAATAAAATTGTCATTTATAACGTTATAACAGCATTAACGATAATTATACCAACTCTGGATCGATTATGACAGTCCACATAGTTTAGTAAAATAATGCCAAATTAAATGGGGTTGTGGAACGACAGATGGGTGAAAAATCTCCATGTCCACCTGCCCCTAGGAGGAAAACCCCAGGCCAGTTACAAACCGAAATTGCCCACAAAAAAAATCAGGTATCTTGAGCAAAAGAAAGACACAAATATCAAGAGGTATCTGGACCCTAAAGATTTGGTTTCCAAGGATGCTACTTCACTATATTAGTCACTTTTGCTTGCATTGGAGAATGTAGACTGTTCACAGTCGCCTATTTTTTCGTGAGATCGTTTAGATATACCACGTCTTACGGTCACGACTATCTTGATTTTCGAATGTACCGGGGGGGGCGAGCTGAGGGTTCGGGTTCAGGTTCGGGTTCGGGTTAGCGTTAGTGTTCTGGTTGGGGTTGGGGTTGGGGTTGGGGTTCGGGTTAGCGACCCCTAAGTAGGTACCGGTCTTTAAGTAGTTTTGACACTCATCCAAGATGTCAGTTCGTAATAAAAAGCGCTCGATTTCGAAGATCTTACGGAAAAATAGAGGAATGTGAACAGTCTACGGAGAATGCCTTAAACTGTCAAGGATCTTGAAAACTGCAATAAATCATTTAAGGAACCTTGTATCGGCTTTACTAGTAACAATGAAGGCACAAATCAAACGCTCTATTTGAGGAATTCCAATTGTATCATTGTACCCTTCTCTGGGAGCTGCTATGCAGAAGGAAGTTTCCTCCAAAGAATTCTATACTATGGAAAATTGGCAGGATTTTCTCTCTCTGTCACAATTGTCAGGTAACTCAGATATAATGCCAGAAACTTTTTGAGCTGTTCACAACCTGGATCCACACAGACCACGCTAAAAAAGAGGGGGAAAATCAATCACCTATAATAAAAATCAGCGACATAATTTGTCACCATGGTTACTTGTCACTTAAATGATGATTTATGATTTTTTTAAACTTGAAAACAACTACAACAAAAGCTATGAGAAAATCATGAGTCAAAAAAAAGTCACATACCTCAAATCCATGGTAGATGGTGGAAGACAAAACAACAGTGGCTCCTCTTTTTCTGCTCTACTTTCTCCCTCACGGCAGGCCAGTAATCCCCTCTAGTCTTGGAGATACACAAAAAGATAAAAAGTTACTAACAGTCATGATTTTCACCTCTCAACTAACAAAATAGTGGAATGGAAATGACTGTCAAACTCAGATAACCATGAACGCCTGAAAACTCTCAGGAATATTTATTGTGTAGTGACCAATCACAATAAAGTTCAGGGCGCGAAAGCAAACCACAAAACCACAAACTAAAATTAATTATTACCCGTGCCGTTTGCAGTTTAATTTTCTCACGCCTCAATGGCTTTTTCTTTGCAACACAATAATATTCCGTAAAATTAATATTCCTGGTGTTCATGGTTTTGTGAGTTTCACAGTAAGTCATGCAGAAAGCTACAGATGCAATGATTACATGTACTTTCCACTAATCCACAGTACTTTTATGATCAGGAAGACAACAACAGTGGCTTTTGTTTGTCAGCTCTGCTTTCTTCCTCATGGCAGACCTGTAATCTTGGCACCTCATTCCTTCTAATTTCAACATAAAGTATAAAAAAATTAATGATATCAAGTACAAACAGTCGATGTTTAACTTCAAATCAATGTTTTATGGCATAAAGTGTATTCTCCAAAGACAAACTGCACGAAGTTGGAAAAAAAAAAAAAACAATAAAATTAATGTATCACAACAAATTGCGGTTGATAAAGAGACTCTTCAAAAGAAGGTTGAGTTTGATCGTCCGGGTGAACGTAGTCCTGAATAGGACTGTTGTTGTTGACAGTGAGTGACATTTCGACAACCTGTGCGGTAATCATCTTCATCTGCATTAACTGTCATCCTTCAAGGATTATGTTTTATTATAGAGTGGTACAGATATCCATAATCAATGGCATGCTGACAGCTAAAGTGACTTGCATTGACCCTTATCACCACAGGAGAAGAAGAACAGACAGTAGGATCAAGTTTAATGGCCAAACACAACTTGAACCTTCCACAAGTTCAGTTTTTGTTGGAATCCAGCCATACACTTGAGCACCCAGCCACTGTTAGGAATCCAATCTCATACAAGTAGTATCATCCACAAGTCTCCAGTCAGATATCTGGAATTTGTGGGGGAGGCATCAGGGATGCCATTGTGGATCAATGATCACGACAAGTGTAGCAGAACTGTCAGTATGACTACTGACTAATGAGAAGGCATGTTGGGTATCCTGGATTTCCACGAGTTGGGTGGTGGGTTCCTCTGATCGCCAGGTTGACACCTTAGCAAAAAAGGCAAGCATCACAGGAGGGACATCACGATTTTCTAGTTGAACACTACGAATAGGGAAAATCAGTCAGTATGAGTTGCTGGTTTCCTTCCACACTTACTGGTTTATTGGTTGACCAGTTCTATGATGTCTTATCTCTCGTGTTAGGCAGATTAAGTGACACCTCTTTCTGCTGAAACAGTTCATCGGCCAAACACCACTACACTTTCCACAAGTTCAACTTTCACTGGAATCTGGCCAGACACAAACACCCAGCTACTGTTAGAAATCCAATCTCACACAAGTAGTATCTTCCACACGTTTCAAATCCAATATCTGGAATGTGTGGGGTGCACATCGGGGATGCATTTGTGGATCAATGATCACAAGTGCAGAGGAACAGTCAGTAATGAGTACTGACTGAGTAGCCACATTGGGTATACTTAATTTCGTAGATTTGGGTCTGGTTCCTTCAAGTGCTACATGTACATGTAGGTTGACACCGAAGCAAAAAGGGGAGGCATCAGGGATGCTTTTGTAGTTGAACATTTCAAACAGGGAAGAACAGTCAGTATGAGTTTCTGGTTTCCATACTTACAGTATTGGCTTATTGGTTGACCGGTTCTATGATATCTGATCTCTTGTGTTATGCAGATTAAGTGACACTGGTTTCCGCCAAAACGGTTCATCAGTCAAATACTACTACACCTTCCACAAGTTCAGCTTTCATTGGAATCCGGCCATACACAAGCAC